TCGGCCTTGGGTTTTTTTTGTTTCCTCATAAAGCAACGGGGCTCCGCCGCCCTTCTGAAAGGCGAAATGAATGGCAGAGCTGAAGGCTGGAAGAATGGTTTTTATTCTTCTGCCTTTCTGTATAGATAGGGCTTGGATGAAGAGGCATCCCACCCCGTCCCGTCGCTGACAGCTCGAGGAAAGTTGGCTTGATATCACATGCAATTACGCTCTCATTATGTTGGTAGCCAGTAAATACATCGCAAGTGTCTGGAGCTTGTAAATCTTACAAGTGGGAGCACTGGGAGGGAAACCGCCCTGTCCCCACGGCTCGAGCCCAGGCCCAGGGCTTGGATGTGCTGCACGGCACTGGGGGGGTCACTGGGGAGGGGAGGAAGGGGCTTCAGCCCCTCTCTGAGCTGGGGGGAACCCCTCCTGCACCCCTCAGCTGTGAAATCCTCCCACAATGATCTGTGCACCGGGGCTGACAGCCACCGAGGGATGGACAGGATTGATGTGTATTTTTTTCTGGCTGGTTTTGTTTTTGGGGAGGGGGAGGGTTGGTTTGGAGGGGTTGGTTGTTTTTTAACATCACTGCTGAGGCCAAAGAGCAGCTTCCCAGCTCTTGTTCAGCTGCTGTGATCTGTACTTTAAGATCTGCTCATGTGGGTGCAGAGAGAAGGTGACCTCAGCACCAGGCTGTGCCCCCAGACTGCAGCAGGGAAAACCTGGAAGCTTTTCTGGTGAAAAATGAAAACCTTGCCCCAAATACTCTGAAATAACCCGGAGTTCCCCAGCACCTTCCCCCCCCCCACAGGACTCACTGCAGCCACAGCCCTCCTCCAGCCCCTGTATGCCCAGAAGTTTCTCTTCGGGTAAATAGCACTTTTGACAAAAAAAAAAAACTGAAAACTCTCAGTTTGCTTCTAGGCACTGATTCTCTCCGATGCTGCCGCTGATACGATCAGCTCGCTTTCTGTAGCATGATCTGCTTTTAAGCCCTTAAAAAACCACTCTGTTGTAATCTAGTGGTAATCAGCTTGCAGTCAGCTGTCCCTCGCATAACCCAGTGGGCGAGTGAGGCTGGGAATCCTTCCTGCAGGCAGCCGAAAAGCCCCAAAGTGTTTGTATGATGTAGTTTTGTTAGCAGAGAGGCTGTTTTAGTGACCTGTGTGCTTGGGGTGAGCTGCTCGGGGCACGGAGCAGCACAGGGGGAGCAGTGAATGGGGCTGGTGTGTGCTGAGGAGAAACCATCTCTCAGGCTCCGCTTTATGGCTTTCTACTTGCAGTCCTGGCCTCCCTCCAGCAGTGCTAAATACCTTTGGTATATCCTTAGCTAGAACTCATTTATCTTCTTTACTCCGCTAAGCCAATATTGTTATTTATGACAGAAATCCGGCGGCCTCCTTCCAAACCCAGCCTCCCAGCGCATCTGGGCTGGATGTTGCCCGTCGCGGGCGATGCAAGGCTTGTGGCGGAGCACAATGCTCTGCCCAGCCTTGTGCTCCTCTGTTACTGTGAGAATGATTAAAATAACATGTTAATTGAGGCCCAGGCCTTGCAGGTGTGGGTCTGTGGCCAGGGGAGGTGCAGCCCCGGGGTGCTGAAGGAGCCACACGGGCTGAACCCAGTCAGCGCCTGACGGGAGGAGCCATCCTCTTTGACACCACCATGCAAGAGCCTCCTGCTGATAGAAGCAACTCTCTGTCCTCACATATTCAGCAAAGAGCATCTGGAAGGTGGCTCTGGAATTAAATTTCGCTCTTCCCCTGAAGGGACGCCCAGGGGAAAGGTCCCTGAGGCGCGACCGGGCGCGGCGGGGGGCTGTAGGCCGCCAGGTTCCACACAGATGTGCTCCTCACTGAAACACGCTAAGTAACTGTAAGCCTGGGATTCAAAGGAGTCGAAAGAGGATTAAATCGTGCAAACTAGGCCAGAACCGCCTTGTTGTTGTCAGTTTTTAACTTAGTCCAGGCAGCAGTGGCTAGAAGGAGGCCGGAGAGCTGCTGGCGGCCCCAGAGCCACACAGGCGGCAGCCGCAGCGTGAGCAGGCCGGGGGCTCTAAGCCAGAGACACAAATTTTACCTGTGAAAACAAAAAACATCTCCTGAGCTGCAACCAGCACACGGAGGGGCCGAAACATCCCCTCACGCTGTGTGTCCTCATCCTTCAGGAGTCCTTGTCCTGTGGTATTTTAGTGCCGGCATCACCTCAGGCCCTGAGGCCCAGTCAGCCACTGGGATTCAGTGGTTTGTGAGAGAAAATATTGAAATCCCAGAAGGGAAAATGAGCTTCCAGGGACTCTGGGGACCCCATATGTGTGTCTGTACACGGGAACACATGCAAAGTCCTCACACCAACGCTGCTGCCCTGCCTGGGGACGTCCCAGCACAGCCTCGGTGCTGGCTAGGGCCTTTCTGGAGGAAATGCCTGGAAGAGGAAAAGCACTGAATAACAAACAAACAAGGAAAAAAAAATAATAAAAAACCCTAAAAACAAAACCACAAAAGAATAAAGAGCCGCCTGAGGCTTTCTCCTGTTTCCTGGGTTGGTTTAAGGAGAGCCCCAGCACCCAGCAGGACCACAGGATAAAAAGTGATGGAAATACTGGGGTTAAATCAACATAAAGCCTTAATTTTGCACGTGTAGGTAGAGGAAGAGGTACTTAACACTCAGAGCTTTGGGACCATCAGTGGGTTAGGCAATATAAAACGGCAGTGGAGGAGAGAGAAGTGAGGAAGAGGCAGGTCCCATGGGGCTGGACGGTGCTTGGGTCAGTGGCTGGGCTCAAAGGGGGCTGAAATCGATGGGTGTTTTGGGGGTAAATCAAATGATACAGGGCAACGGCAGAGAAAATCACTGTCAGTGTAGATTATTAAGTTTAAATAAGAAAAAAAAAAAAAAAAAAAGGAATGAACACAACACGAGCCCCTCCAGGAAGCAGATCAGATGCTTTGCAGATGCAGGAAGGGCGCTGGGGATGGAGGGGATGCAGGGGTCGGGGGCTGAGCCCCGCAGAGTTCCTGTTCCCTGGGGGCTGAAAGCACCCCACTGCTGCGAGCTGAGGATCTGCAATTAGGAACTAACACCTGACCTGGCTGCAACCGCACAGGGGTTGTGCCATCCCAAATTGCCCCTGCTAACAACACCGCAGCACCAATAAATGGTAATAATACTAAAAAAGCGTGGCACGGAGCAGGTGAAAAGCAAAGCCTTGGGTGGAATGTGGAGCAAAGCCAAGAGGAAAAAAAAAAATGTATCGGCGTGGATTAAAGACAGCAGAGACACACTTAGATGCAAAGATTACGTGGAATTCCTGAATTATGGGGAATAAAAGGGGCTGAAAGATCATTAAAATTAATCAGAGCTTAACCGAAGCAAGACTGCTGAGCCCGTGTTATCTGCTGTCAATTGAACTTATTTTAGCTGCGAAATAAGACTGTCAGATTTGGAGCAGAGTGATAAGGATAAATAAGATCTCTTCAATCTCCGGCCAGACCCTGCCCGGAGCCGCCAGCCCTTTGGTGACCCCCCTATGGGTTTGTCCCCCCACCATGGGCAGCCTTGGGACCCTGGGGATCCTCGTCCCAGCCGCCCCTGCCCATCCCTGCTGCTTCTCTGCTGTCAGAGGAAGGATAAT